ATAGGGAAGCAGGTTGTTTACCACGACAGTAGAAGTGATTTGTTTCTGAAGATACGGGGAAACAACACGATTTAACAGCCTTTGAACGTGGGATGATTGTTGGCGCTCGGAGCCATGGAGCGAGTATCAGCAAAACAGCAGAATGCGTTAAATGTTCGAGCAGCTGTTGTTAGTGTTTAAAGACCGGACTGTCAGCCGAAAATCTGGGTCTGAACGTGCGAATTGTGGCCGTCAGCGACTAGTCAATGTTAGGGCAGAACGGGGGAGGGGCAAGACTGGTACAAGACAACAGAAGGGCAACAGTGCCGTGTCAGATTCCTCGCATCACCTTTCATCATCTCGTGGAGTCACGAGGCGGCCCAACGAAGTACTGATGGGGTGGTCATAATAATCTGGCCACTCAGTGTATAATCCAATTGTTCTCTCTGTTCCCCAGTCGCACCACAATGCAATAGAGTGTACACTTTGTATATTCCAAATAAAGAAAAAGTAAAAAGCACACCTGATGAAGCACAATAGCTCGCACGCTGCTAAAACTTAGCACTAGTGTGACCGAGCCTGTAAGGACCCACACAACACACAGTGCACTAAGGCAGCCCGTTCATTTCAAATACATTGTCAGCGCAACGCAAAGATCGAAAATAAGTATTATTCTTAGCAACGCAGCACACTACAAAGTACTGACATCTGGGCGTTGTGGGTGTATTACAACACTGGTGTGTTTTCTTTACTGCATATGTGCACTGGGGTGCCAATCAGAATGAATGCCACTGCAATGCACACATAAGCATGCGTTCATTGTTGCATAGTCCCAACTGGTTCTCCTCTCTCCAAGAATTCAGAAATAAGAGGAATTGGAGACATCAGGTCAGAACAGACATCTCGGGACATTTTCAAGGACAAATAACGACGACCTGTGACACTCCGGCTATTGGAGACAGTTGGTAACTACGCATCAGTCAAAGGATGCGAATGTATAGTTGATGATTATTGCAATAACCGTTCCCTAATATATTCATTATTTTGTTAATGAGCTATCCATTAGAGCAAATGATCTTCCTAAAGAGTCCTCCTCAGCCGTCATGTCTTGAAGAGAATGACATATTTCCTCCACAGCACTTTGGCGGTAATTGAACGTGCACAATGGAGGGCTGTCATAATTACCACACAAATCGTTTATTTTGCAGAGACGTGAACGCAACATGACAGACGAGAGGTTGCGGAAGAATGCGGCGCTTGGCATGCTATACGCAGGTTTTCACTGGCAATTCTGTGTCTCCGGTTTTCTGTTGGGGACAATGTATTAAATCAGTGGTTCTCAACCTGTGTAACCTCAGGACACACATTTGTCCTTGGTCATTAAGTCGCCACCCAAGTCTGCACGGCATTGGGTGTTCCGGTGCAATCGTACGAACTGTGGGTGGGAGGTACATTTGGGGTACCATTAAAATGAGCGGCAATGAAACACACTTCCCACACCAGAATGCACAGTAGGTGCAATTGTGTGGCACAGTGCGTTAATCACACAGTACTATGCAATTAACGCACTGTACTTGTGTGGAGGGGCCCTTTTGGGAGTTTTTTAAGGTCCACCCAGTCTCCCTACCTTACAAGAACTGGAGTCGATCCTCAGCCTGGGGTCCAGTGTGGGCTGCTGTGCTGTGACGGAGCTCCCTCCATATGTGCATTGCTTTTACAGCTTTGCATGTCCTGTAGAGGTGTTGGGAGCCAGAATGTGATGTCACTCCGGTCCAGGCACCTCTACAGGACATGTGAGGGAGCTGTAAGCAATGCATGTATGGATGGAGCTCCCTCGCAGCTATAGCCCCATCCCATTACACTTCACGCAGACACTCGGCGCCGGGCAGCATATTTTGAATGGCTGCTTGGCACGAGAACTGACAGTGCTGCGCTAGGGGAAGGCAGAAGAGCCTCTCACCTAGAAAAGTGGAAGGCATGCGGCGACCCACTGAACACAGGCTCGCGACCCACCAGTTGAGAACCAAGGTATTAAAACATGAATAAATACTTAAAGATTAGAACACAACTCTGGCCAGTATAAATGCATTCTCTATGTGGCCATTGGTTTGTAGACACCTGACCATCACACCTATATAAGCTTGTTGGACATGTCACTTCAAAACCATGGGAAGTAATATGGAATTGGTCCCCTTTTTCTGCCTTCACTCTGCTGGGAAGGCTTTCCCAAACATTTTGGAAGGTATCTGTGGGGAATGTGTGCCCATTCAGTCAAAAGAACATGTGTGAAGTCAGGTACTGATGTTGGATGAGAAGACCTGGCTCGCATCGGAGTTCCAATTTATCCCAAAAAAGTTCGGTAAGGTTGAGGTCAGGGCTCTATGCTGGACACTGGAGTTCCTCCGTGCCCAACTCCTCAACCCATTATGGAGCTGATTTTATACACAGGGCACAGTCATTGTGGAACAGAAAAGGGCCTTCCCCCAAACTGTTACCATATGGTTCAAGTGCACAAGTGTTTAAAACGTCTGTATGGTGTAACAGAACCCTTCACTGGAAACGCCTGAACTCAACAAGTTGAAGGAATGTCCCCTTATGTCTAGCTAAAAATGTAGGTGTGGTGGTCAGAGGCCTGCAAACATTTGACCATATAGTGTATATGTGAGCTGTATTCCTTACCAAAATATTTGAAATTATGTTCAGCTAATCTTTTCAAAAAATTTCAGGCGATTTCAACAATGTAGTCAATCACACCAAATGGATCAGAACAACACTCTAGATCATTTTAAAGTGTCGATAAGGAATGTTTAGTGTTAGGTTGTATGTTCCCTTTCACTAATTTTTGTGCTTGATACTGTTAAGTGTCAATAAATGTACATGGAAATTAAATGTGGGTGGTTTTTGGCTAGACTGGGGGATGTAGGTACAAAGTACAAGGATAGACTTCAGGTGGTTATACTAGCAGGGTTGAGGATCCTTCAATTTGTTTGTCATTGAAGCAGTGGATTGGAGGGTGAGTCTCGGGTGTGCATGGAATTTTAATTCCAACTTTTACAACCGTTTCAGTGCCACAGTCACATGCTCTCCTCAGCATTATTATTTTGTTCTGTCCTGTTCTCTGAATGAATTTGTCTGTTTGTAGCGGAGGGGTATGTAACCCCAGCACCCCAGCTGTTGTAGAACTACAACCCCCATGAGGCATTCCAAGGCATGACTGGTTTTGTAGTTTTCGCCACAGCTGGAGTGCCAGGGTTGCCAACCCCTGCTGGAGCGGAAAGGCTGATGCTTTATTCATCCGAAAACTTAAGTCACCCAATTATTCCATCCTGTACATATGCACTATGCTTCTTCTGTATGGTACCAAGTAGGCTGTGAGAAAGGAATAAGGTAACAGACGGAGACTGGGGAGCTGGTTTTTATGACCGTGCTGCGTTTTAGAGGACAGGTATAGTAGCCCTGGGGCATGTGGGGCCTTGATGAGATCAAATGGCAGAAAGCATGAACTGCCAACTGAGCAAATTCCTCTCCTACAAAAGGCCTATTCTCCCCAGCAGTCCGGTTCCTCTCTTCTTACTGTAAATTCTTTGACTTCAGACTTACCAGCAAAACGTATTGACTGCTGAAGCAACACACAGCCCCTCAGATTGTACACCTCCCATCCACATAGCTGTGGCATCCATGTCGTGTTCAAATGCCCAACATACTTGCCTTGCTGTCATTGATCTTGATTTCCCCCCCTGCAACTTTGTTACCAAACTTGAATTCATACTATTTATATACTATTAGCAGCCAAGCAAACTTGCTAAGCCTTGCAAGAAACAATTCATAGAGGTCAGGAAGTGTATAGACTCCTTTTTTTCCATAAACAAAAACTTACCAGTTTTGTTTAAGGAAACCATAAACAAAACCAATGGACCTTGTTGACCAATGAGCGCTCCCCATTTGATAGCATTATGAGCAGTGTAGCTGTACAGACTGCTACACTGGCTGGTGGGGACTTTAGACATGTAAGTGCACCTGGGGCCAGGGGAGGTTACGGGGTGCTGTGGGCAACTTCATTTTTTTCACATATTGGGAGAAAGTGAACTTACCCTTCAAGGCTGACAATCGCTCTCAATGCCCGTTGCCTCATTGTTATCGCTTAGTGAGAAGGCCCATCATAGGGATGTACCAATAGGAATGTTGGCAGGAGACATGGCCAGCTATATGTTGGGGCTTTGCCTGACCAGCTGCAGTAATGCCCAGACACCCCCGTTTTAAAAATCATCCTTATGTGGCCGACTTGTATTCGTACCCTTTAAAAGCCAAAACTGAACGCTCCTCATTTATACAGAGTTTTTAATATACCGGCATAAAAGGAATATATTTTCTCTGTCAACTTCTACGTAATCTAATACAGTGTAACAAAATAGAAATCCATCCACTTTATATACAATACTTTGGAGGAAAAGTACAACAACAAAAAAAAATATTTTGGTCTTTACCAAATAAAAATCTACAAAGTCCTTGTTCAGATTCTTCTTTTCTTTTTTGTTCCCAAATTCCTTCAAATAAAAGCAATGCTCTGTCCTGGAGAAAGTTCACAAAACACGCAGAGGTGGAAAAAAATTTCCCAGAATTCTCGAAGCTTCTATATTCTATACAAAAATATCCAGATTATATTTATTTTTGTTCCGACGCTATTAAATAAAAATGCTGAAAAAGAGGGGGAGGGGAGGAGGGGGATAATCCAGTGTGTAGCACTCATTTTGCCTCATTAGAAGTTCAGACAAAAAGTAACGTTGTTCGCACAAAAATTCATCAGCTGGTCTAAGGTCATGGGTGGATCGGGGGTTTGGTGGGCACCGTGATAGTGGTTTGGGCAGGTTAGGCATTGTAGTCCAACAGGTAAATAGCCAAAGATGGAGGTCCCCTCATCTAAACTCCAGAGCCTATAGGAGGGCAATGTGCGTGTGAAGGAACGGAGACACTTAGTGGTTTTATATTTTCCCCTTCCCTCTGTAGTGGTTTTATATTTTCCCCTTCCCTCTGTACAAGTGACGTAGAATAGAAAATGAAAAGGTCCAGCAAAATCAGCAGACGTATGTACACTCTATTGTGTCTCCAGCTTATCTAATGACCTCAAATCACGGTATACAGAGTTCTTTAATACAAGTGCCATGGACAAACTTCCACCAAGGGAAGAGAACCCGATATTTTGTTCTACAAAGGTCCTTTGAACTGGTTCCCGGACAGATGTTGCCTGATTGAAGGTTTGGAATTGGCGGCATCTCCCAGTTTTCTCCATACCACCTGCAAACAGAGAAGACAAATGTGCGTACATTAATTACCCCTCCAGACAGATACATAATGAGGCACGTAAAAGCTCAAAGAAAATATTTGGGTTTTGGATACGATTTAAAGGGGCCCTGTCACCAACTTAAAAAAACTGCAGATAAAAGCACAGGAAGATCAACTATTCCAGAAGCTTACCTTTAAGCCTCATTCACACGAGAAAAGGCCGGCGCGTACAGCTCCATGTTGCGTGCACAGTCGTATCGGGCCGTATCCCGGGAAGGACAGGTGCTGCGTGTGATTAGTATAAAATGTATTTCAGTACAGCGTTGCATGACAGAATAAATGTCAAAGTACCGCAGCGCTGAACACTGAAAAATGGCCTGGATGGGAAGGGGGTGTAAACATCTGGTCTTGAAGCGGTTCTGGTTTAACTCCGGAGTTTAGTGTCATTTTAAGGGAAGATTGTTGTTGAAATGAAGGGTCTGGCAACAGGGTCTCTTTAAGGCTGGTTGAACAAGGCACTGCCATGGATGTTGGTCTTTAGCCACACATTGGGGGGGAATTTATCAAAACTGGAGCAAACAGAATCTAGCGCAGTTGCTAATGGCAACCAATCAGAATCTCCCCTCAGTTTGCTCAGGTAAGATTTGAAAATGAAAGAGAGAAGCTCATTGGCTGCAGTGCAAATCCCCCCAGTGTCAACATAGGCTTAAAGCAGCAAGTGTGAGAGCCACTCCAGACGAATTGTATACAGCTAGAGCCAGGAAAACCCGACAGTTGCTGAAGCCAGTGGGTCAGGCACCGTGTCATTTTTTAAAGAAGTGAAGCAATGGCAACAATCCTCATTTCCACATAAAGCACACTTTAAATCCACATAGACGAGACAGCGGTGGTATGTCCCTACGTGAGGTTACCAGTGAAGCGCTGGCTGGGACAGTATGTACTTACGTTGCACATTTCTCGCACGATCGCCTTCTCCTTCTCGCTGAGGTCCTCCTCATAGCTGTCTGGTGCCTGCCTGTCCAAATTTTCATGCACTTCTAGCACCTGCGGAGAAAATAAAGAGTTTTATTCACAAGGCTGTACCATTGACCACTGAGTCTTCTAATGGGGAAAGGGGGGGGGGGG